CTGCCATCTCTCCAGAGAGCCCAGCCGGGACAGTAGCTCACAGTTGCTGTCAGTGTGTGACCGTCCCCGAGTTAAGACATTTTCCTATTATGCTTATTTTCATCGTTTACTTTTAGACTTGATTTTAGATTTCTTTGCTGCAATATTGACGATTGACGTTTAAGTATTTAAATGTGAGGCACTCTAGGCAGTATTACGTAAGTAAGATTATCTTCTTTAAACTTCTCAGTTTAAAGATACGTACATGACTTTTTTAGAAACCCTCAGATCAACTGAGTGAAGTTTGGACGCTAGGCAGGGACAACTAGAAAGAGGGAATGGGTAGACTAAAAGAGAAAACAATGAAGCTCATCAAAGCCAAATAGAGAAGCTTTCAGTTTTCACCAGAGTGTCTTGTCAGTGGTGACCTTTCAAAAACTAAGAGCCATATGATTTCACTCATTTGTGGGTGAACCCAGGCAGTGGTGTGGTGGTTCCCTGAGGGAGGGGTGAAGGGGCGGGTAGGGCCCAGTTACCACACGGTGACGGAGGGTGGTTCCACTGGGCTGGTGGGCCCAGGGCAATGTACAGATCTTGTGTCGTGGAGATGTGCACTTGAAACTACGAGAACCTATTAAATGGTGCCACTCCAATAACTTGAATAAAAACTTTTTTAATGCAAGACTTAAAGAAAAAGCTGAGTGGGATCTGCATATAAACTGGGGTGTGCTGTGGCACCGTATCTCCACGTGTGGGTAGAAGCTGAGTGGGATCCGCGTGTAAACTGGGGTGTGCTGTGGCACCGTATCTCCACGCGTGGGTAGAAGGCTGAGTGGGATCCGCGTGTAAACTGGGGTGTGCTGTGGCACCGTATCTCCACGCGTGGGTAGAAGCTGAGTGGGATCCGCGTGTAAACTGGGGTGTGCTGTGGCACCGTATCTCCACGCGTGGGTAGAAGCTGAGTGGGATCCGCGTGTAAACTGGGGTGTGCTGTGGCACCGTATCTCCACGTGTGGGTAGAAGGCTGAGTGGGATCCGCGTGTAAACTGGGGTGTGCTGTGGCGCCGTATCTCCACGCGTGGGTAGAAGCTGAGTGGGATCCGCGTGTAAACTGGGGTGTGCTGTGGCACCGTATCTCCACGTGTGGGTAGAAGCTGAGTGGGATCTGCGTGTAAACTGGGGTGTGCTGTGGCACCGTATCTCCACGTGTGGGTAGAAGCTGAGTGGGATCTGCGTGTAAACTGGGGTGTGCTGTGGCACCGTATCTCCACGCGTGGGTAGAAGCTGAGTGGGATCCGCGTGTAAACTGGGGTGTGCGGTGGCACCGTATCTGAGTGGGATCCGCGTGTAAACTGGGGTGTGCGGTGGCACCGTATCTGAGTGGGATCCGCGTGTAAACTGGGGTGTGCTGTGGCACCGTATCTCCACGTGTGGGTAGAAGGCTGAGTGGGATCCGCGTGTAAACTGGGGTGTGCTGTGGCGCCGTATCTCCACGCGTGGGTAGAAGCTGAGTGGGATCCGCGTGTAAACTGGGGTGTGCTGTGGCGCCGTATCTCCACGCGTGGGTAGAAGCTGAGTGGGATCCGCGTGTAAACTGGGGTGTGCTGTGGCACCGTATCTCCACATGTGGGATGGACACAACGTGTGGAATAAAAACTTGACGTTTTAACATGAAAAGGTTGGATTTGACCTCTTAAGATTATCGCTGAGTCTTGATGAAGAAGACTCAGCACCGAATCAGAAGCGCGGTGCCGGGAAGAAACCCTGCAGAGAAGAACACGGGCGCTGGCGTTGGCTCGGGTGCAGAGGGCTGTGGGGAGGACCCATATCGACTGTTTCTTTGGGTGTGAGGAGGGAGTGTTCGTGTGACAAGTGGTGTCTTAACTTTTAATCCTTTAGGCTGTTCTGATATTTGCAGTGTCCTTAGATTTTTTTAAATGTCAGGCTTTATAAAAATTCAGCTTTCTTAAATTTCAAACTGTTTGACTAGATGCAGTTAGGGCTGATTTGTTAGCTGTTTCAAACTATCAGCTTTTTTAATTGGAGCTCTTTGAGTTTCTAAGATTAATAAATAGATTAGCAGTGAATCTGGGTTTCATTTCTATGGCTCTTTTAGTGGTGTCCTGTTTACTGACCCCTAAAGAACGAAAGAACCTAAAACTCAGACCCGCAGTGTTGGGGGCGGTGGTTTGAGAGCCCAGAGCGCCAGCTGCGGCCCTGCCCCTTTCCGGCGGGCTCTCAACTTGTTGGATTGCTTCTGGGGTCAGTCTTCATCTGCAAAGGAAAGGTCCGGAATCATCTTTAAGGTTAACCTCTAATCATCTGTGACTGTAATTGGCTCTTAGGAGCAAATACTTTTGGTGCACAAATGCATGGCACATAAAGTTAACCATTTACAAGGATGTTACATGCCAAAGCCTTACGGGTTAGTTTCGTTAGAAGTATGCTTTTCCCACAGCGTAGGTGTCCTGAAGGGAGCCAGGTCTGTTTGCTATTTACTGGCGTGTGGCAGGGCACAGGACAGTGTCAAGTACATTGTAGTGGTCACTAAATTCCTGCAACTCTCAGAAATCTGTTGAAGCTCTGTGAAACTGTGTATACATTCGCAGTAACTAGCGTCACATAAACCATTAATAACTGAAAGAGCAAGAAAAACAATTTAGTTTAAAATCTACTTTGTGAAAGAAAAAGTTTAGAGGAAACAAGATGGAATTTTGTAGTGATTCTAAAGGGAGACTTGGGGCAAGTTCAGATGCTCAGCGGCACTGGTATATCCTTCTTTCTAAATCCTTTAAAAACATAGCTTTCAATTACTTAATTTATTCTTCCATTTATTTATGCAAAATCTTGATTGAGCTGTGTGCCGGGCTCTGGACTAGGCTCCCAGGTTCTGTGGTGAGCAGGAGAGATGGCCTCTGTGCCCAGGACCCTCACCAGGGCGGTGAGGCTGGGGCATGGAATTCCAACCTTGCGTGGGAGCTGCGAAGGGGGCGTCCTGTGAAATGGGCAAGCCCAGACCTTGTCAGGGAGCTCCCTCCTGGGTCCGGCCTGGCTGCGGGTGTGACTGGAAGACAACTTGATGAAAAAGGAGAGGAACTGTACGGGCAGAAACAACAGCAAATGCAGAGACTCTCGGGAGTGGGGAGGAGACCGGCATGTCTAAGAAAGGGGGAAAGTCTGTGAGGCGGGCCCGAGGGGACGACGGGGACAGTTTGGTAAGAGGCACATGACGGGACAGCAGAGATCTGATGGCGCCTTAATAAGGACTTCTCTGCTTCACGTGACCTTGCCCCCCTTTCTGCCACCCCGCCATTGCTCTCAGGATGACCATCTAACCAGACCTATACTCTTAGACTCCCTGCCCTGCAAGGAGTAGATGGGGAAGTGGTAGGTTTCCGATTTGTGGATAGGTGGCTTTGACACTCAGTGAGATGTGCGCCACTGGTGGAGAGTGGAGTTTAGGGGCAAATCCAGAGCTCAGTGTGCACCTGTGGGGCTCGAGACATCGGAGATGTGACCACAGCACTGGCGTGTAGACAGGCCTGGAGTTCGGAGAAGAAATCCGGGCTGGAGAATTTAAGTGGTAATTTCCCCTTAGGAGAAAATTAAGTAAGTGCCAGAGACGAGGATGTGGGTGTACACGGGGGATGCCATCAGGTGGTACCACCCGCACAAAACAACCAGACTGCTGTCTGGTGGGTGTTGGAGTGATGTTCCCAAGGTAGGTGAACGGAAGCTCAGACTGAAGTTATATTTAAGGAAACATTTGCTGAGTTACTAGTTTCCTCAAAACTCGAGGGAAGTCTTGTTGGACGTTTTTCTCTTCCACATTTGAACATTCCCATTTGAATGTATGCCATAAAATACCCTCAGGATCTGAACTGACATTTTGTTTTCATAAAAGGTTAAGTCCAATAGCTTAGATGATAAACACTGGAGGTGATTTAGGTTTCGGTACTTCAGACTTAATCCCTAAACATGACCTGCTGTGCCTAAGTTTACAAAGAGCTGTAAGGCCCCTGAGGCCACGGCAGCACATGCTGGGGTGATTCACGCCGGCCCTGTCAGGTCAACTACCTGTTCTTGCTGTTCTATATACCGTTTACCTCCCGACAACATTGTTTCTGGCACCATCACAAAACTCAGTGCTTCTTAATGTCACACTAGAAATATTTATTTAAAAACCTACGTATTCTGATGTGACGTACGTAGGCGATCCTTAAAGTATGTCTGTGGTATGGCAACAGGCCAACTGCTGACTTAGTACAATATTGCATAGCTAAGGCCCCTTATCTATGGACCCAGGATCCTGGAGCATTATAAATTGTGTTTTGCAGTCGCTTCAGACACTTAGAAATAATAGCATTTGTTAGGCATTTACTATGTGTTAAATATTTTGCATACACTAGCTTACTTAAACTTCACAACTATTTAGGGAAATGATTTGCCCCACTTTGCAGACTAGGAGATCAAGGTTTGGAGAAGGGAGAAGTTAAGTAAGTTACCCAAGACCACATACGTAGTAGGTTGAAGCTAAGCTTCACACCCAGCTCTCCCTGAATTCAGAGTAAATTTTAAATTTTGCTAGGTCTTAACATACTCCCATCTAAAAAGAGAAGGAACATTGCCCTTTACCTTCAGCTTCACCTGTATTTGCATTTTGCCAACTGCTAAGTGAAAAATTACAAAAATTCACTGATAACTAATGAGAGTAAATGGTTTTTCCTGTTTATTAGCTATTTGTTTTAGAAGACAAAAGAAAGAACAATATGTTAATTGTCCCTGTGCAACCTTTACCCAGCTTTTCCCGCGGGCACTAATAGTCCTCAAGATTTTAACTACATGTGTAAAGATATATCATACAGTAGGAGTGTTTCCACGTACAAAGGTCCTGATCTTTGGGTTAGCGTGGTGCTAACGCCTACGGATGGGATCTCTCTCTCAGTGTGTGACAGGTACCCCTATTCCCCACCCCAGGGTGTTGAGAAAGAATTAATTCATTCACTTTATTTCTTCCTCAGGTTTGCCTGCGATGAGATTTCATTCTCTACAGTTCAAGGACATCCTTTCCAGGCTGCTGTGAGTGAATTTGGAATGAGACTGTATTTCCGTCTCATGGAGAATTAGCTGCGCCCTGAGTGAGGATCGCTGCCCTGGACACTGTCGGAACACTGCGCACAATGTCATCGAACAGGAGTCAGAACCCCCATGGACTGAAGCAGATCGGCCTCGACCAGATCTGGGACGACCTCCGTGCCGGCATCCAGCAGGTGTACACCAGGCAGAGCATGGCCAAGTCCAGATACATGGAGCTCTACACGTATCCTACCACGGAGGCTGAGCGCGATTTGCTTAGAAGTCTGTTCACTAGTATGATCTGTGGATGGTTAGAAATTTGGCCTCGTGTTTTCTCTTTCCAGTTCAACTTGTGATAAAATCCCAAGTTCATTTTTAGCTTTAAAAATTAACTCATTTCCTCTAAGTTTTTTGAGCAGAGGTAAAACTGGCCAGTCGGTGGTCTGAAGTTGGGCTGCTCAGTACAATGGCCCCAAACACCGTGGCTGCCTACATTTGAAATCATTAAAATTAGGTAATTAAGTCAAATGTTAGTTCCTATGTTGCAGTAGCCGTATTTTAAAGGCTCTGTAGATAACAGATGACTTCTCTCGTGGCAGCAGGTGCCGTTGGAGGGCTGGTTAGGGCCGGGGGCGTCGGTTTCCAGGGCCCGTGGGGCCGAGTGGAGGGGCCGCGTCAGAAATGGTCTGGTGCACAAAGCTGACACCTGCTCTCCAGCCGACCCCCACCTGCAGGGTTACCACACGGAGCAGAAGTTCTGCTCTGCCCTGTTCACAGATACAGCGTCCGGAAAGCCTGCCCCTCGCTCACTGCGCGGCGCCTGTCGTGTGCCCCGGAGGCTGTGGAGAGTGTAAGGAAGTGAAGTGGAAGCGCACTTGCTCGAGAGCAGGTTGCTGCGGATTTACTGGTTCCGGGAGTTTCAGGTTGCTAGTTCAGTGGATATTTAAGCTTAAATCCGTGAGTATCAGTGGTTGTCAGACTTGCTTATGTGATGGTTCAGTATGCCCTCAACTATGCTAACGTTTTAGAGTCTTAAAAAAATTAACATTAATTTAAATAGATATGAAACTATACATTTTTCTCTAAATCTAAAATTTATCATACGTGTCAATATATACTCATACTGTGTATACACACTTATGCCATAGAATGCTTTTTAGGAAAGTAACAGCGTTGCTGACCATCGTTTACACACTACGGAATTCGCTCTATAAAGTGCACGGTACGGCGGTGCCCGGTGTGTCACCCCTCAGAGCAGGCCTGTGCCTGTTAGCAGTCACCCTCCACCCTCTCCTCCCGGCCTCTGGCAACCCCTGGCCTACTTTCTGTCTCGGAATTTGCCTGTTCTGGACATTTTGTGGACATGGAATCACACCATGTGTGGCCTTTCGTGACTGGCTTCTCTCACTCGGGATGACGTTTCCAGGCTCATCCTTTTTGCAGCAGGCGTTGGTGCTCTTCATCCTCCTGGCTGGGCTGCTGGATGTGCCGCGAGTCCATCCGTTGGCCAGTGGTGGCACCTGGTTAGTCCACGCTGGGCTGTGCGGGACAGTGCGGCTGTCAGGAATGCTGTGTGTGCGTTTGTGTGGGGCCCGCCTTTCCCGTTCTCCCGGGGCCACACGGAGGAGCGGGGCTGCTGGGTTGTGTGATGTGGAGAACGCAGGTGGGATGGAGTCTGTGCCGGTCAGAGGATATTATTCCACTCGAGAGGGTTGTGGCTTGCTGGGCATGGACTTGTTTGTCTGTTTAATTCTTGTAAGTAATAGATGTGAAGCTGGTGATTCCACAGGTGAGACAAAGCGAAGGTGCTTGGTCTGATTTCTGGTTCGCAAAAAGCAGGGAGCATTAGTGTAGAAAGCAAGGAAATTTGATTTGTCTCTGAGGATTTCTTAAGTAATTTTTGACTAAATGAGATTGGTCTTTTGCCCAATAGGATGTTTTCACCCTTAAAACTTGAAGAAAGTTGAAACTTTGTATGCTTGCAGCAATTATTGAATACTTTTATTCTACGAATAATTAACAATTTGTAGTTCTGATACCTGCAATTTTAATTATTTTAGGAATGCTACTCTTAACTTGAGCTTTAATGTGGTCTGAGACAGTAACAGCTTCATACGTTAATTAACAGTGGAGAATCTGACTTTTGATCCTTAGGTATTAATTTTGGAATCACAGGCACAGTTTGAGTCCTGTGTGTCAGGCATTATGCTAGGGACCGGCTACACCTTACTGAAAGCGTACATCGCCCGGGAGCGTTGGTGTGGGTAACCCTTCTCTCTCGGTATTGGAAACCTGGCCTCCAAATGCTCAAGCAACTTGCTAATTGTTACAACAGCTACCCGAAAAATGACCATGCCTGACCTTAGTCCGAATCTAGAGACTGCCCTTATCTACTATATGGCCCTTAAATGATGGGGATGATGATGGTGATTGATTTTAGAGAGAGGAGTGGAATTTGGGGATGGGGGGAGAGAAACATAGAAACGTCAACTTGTTGTTCCATTCATTGGTTCATTCTTCTCTGTGCCCTGATCAGATTTCGAACCCACAACCTTAGCATGTCAGGATGATTCCCAGAGCAGATGAATACCTGGCCAGAGCTTTCGCCTGCATCCTGTATGTCCCTTCAGTGTCGTTGTCAGAGCAGGATCTGGAGTCGTCTGACACGTTTTCTAGAGCGCGCCTTCACTGCCATTTAAGTCATTTAAACATGCGCAGCACTTCTTCAAACTGCATTGCTATTCCTGCCATTTTAGCCCAGCCTGAGTTTGCATAACAGCTTTTTAAGGGGTTTAGTTCTCATAGGTGTATATTCAGTCTCCCATGGAACCACTTAACTGTACTGCCCTTTAAAAGAATCTCCTACAGGCTCATTTACAGGGACATCTGACAGTTGGGACTGTGAGGTCACATTTCAGGTTCGGAGGCACTCTAGGTCCTGGGGAGAAGGACGTGTCACTGATCTGTGGTCACTCGTCAGAGTGAGGCCCGGCTCCTCAGGATGGGTGCAGGAGCCTGTTGAGAAAGGCTGGAGCGGGAACATAGGCGAGAACAAGGGAGGAACCCTTCTTGTCCCCTAAGTCCAGCTGGCAGCTGGCAGCTAGGTTTTCTCCTCTCGTTTATCCTGGAGAACCCCCCTCCAGGGGTGCTGGAGAAAGCAGCCTGCCTCTGGCTGTGCAGCCGTGTTTTGGAGCCCTTGGGAACCTCTGGCGCTCACCAGTGCTGTACGGGACGAGGGACTGTTAACGCAGCATGAACAGTTTTCCTGATTTTCCAACTCAAAATGGCAAAGGAAAAGAGAGGGGAATTTGGAGACAGTAAAGGAGGTCCCAGAGCTTCTGCAGTCGGAAGGATCTTGTTCACTTAGCTTTGTTTCTGGCCCCTTCACAGAGGCTTCATTTTCTTCCACAGGCTGAGCCCCGAGCCTTTGCTCCCAGCCTCCGCCTGTCTGTGGGGCACTTCTGTGCAGGCCCAGTGTTCTGCCATGTCCCACGTGCGTTTATGTAGGCATGGTGCAACGTGGGTTTTTCTTTTTGCAGTAAAATAATGGGCGTATTCCTGTGCACATGGGTAGATAACAGTTACCTTACTTTTGAACTTGAAATAGGAAATGAAATTTCTTATCATTTTTGGACATCGTTCTATTTCTGGTGTCAGGCCTGGCTCAGAGGACAGGCCTGGGTCATGCCGAGTGGAGCAGAGTCTTGGGGAGGGAATCAGCACAAGGCGGGGTCCCTGTGGCCTGGGAATAGCACCCTCTCTGTCCAGTCCAGACCCTGGGCTGTCTGGTTTTGCAGGGCCCCAGGTCTGCCTGCCTACATTTCCAGGTCAAAATCTTTCTCTTTTTTTTTTTTTTTCCTGCCGTCATTATACAGCTCGAGTCATAATTTTAGCTTCCCTAGAAATCAATGTAGACTTCTGTGTTGGTGTCTTTCTCTTTTTTTCTATCTATCTGCATAAGTTCTCATAAGCTTTGAGGTTCTGTTTTTCTCCTTGCAGTGCTGTGAGTTGAATTGGTTTATTCTGTTTTCTTAGTCTGTCTTTTCAAAATCTTTTTCTCCAACCAGTAGAGTAAGGATCACACTGGACTTCCCTAGTAAGTTACCCCAGTGGCGTCCTCAGGATGCACATTTAACCAGTTCCCTGACTTTGGTAGCATGGTTTGCAGTCCCTGGGCTCTAAGTTGTCAGTAGGCATACAGGGAAATGTTCAACCTCATAATTATTAAGGAGGTGAAGAATCTAAAAAAACTTTAACATATCCGGTTGAAAAGAGTTTTAAGAAATGATTATAGCCCGTGTTGGCAAGAGTGGAGGCAGCAGGCGCTCTGCAGTCGCCTGGAAATGTTACTCGGATCTTCCTGGAGAGAAGTTTAGAAGTGTAAAGACATAAAAACATACTCTGGTCTGGTGTTTTTTGTTTTGCTTTGTTTTTTCAACGTTTAATTCTGTCTTAAGGAAATAGTTGTATTCAAATTGTGCGTGCAGAGCCATTCAGAATACAGTAGTAATAGGAAACGGTGGAAGCAACCTCAGTCCTGAACTGTAATAAGGATTTGGCATTTAATGGCCATGAATAGTCACTAAAGCATATTAATAACTGTTGGTACGTAATAATGTCTGCAGTGAGAGAGAAAGCAGGACGTAAAGTGGTATGTGTACTATGAACCCCCAGCACACCCTCTCTACTTTTGAAAAAAATTTATCCAGCGCCACTTTGAAAGAGGTGATTTGTAGGTGTTGGGCTTACTTAAGGATGGTTTTTCTTAATGACCTATGCTTTCTAGATTTCCAGTATATAGTGGGCATTTTAAAAGGCAGTTTATTTTCCTTGTGCAAATGTAAGTTGTTTCTACCTTTCACTACTGAGCTGAATTGAGTAGTTGTTAGGATTGAGAAGTTGTATCTATCCTTGAGAAAACCCACAGAATTTATAATTATATTGCATAGTTGCCTCTACAACTGAGTTTTTGTTTTTTATGAGAATGAATATGGTATGGTCAGCTTTTTTTTTTTTTCTTGATTCATGACGTATATACTCAGAGCACTGCGTATTCGTAAACAAATCTTACAGTCAGTTCCAGGCAGTTACCAGCAGTTCTTGTTCTTGGTGTCTGCCGCCAGGTGTGAACCGAGTCGCTTCGTCAGGGGTGTTCCCGCTCAGAGTCCTGCCCAACACGGCCTGGCGCAGACTTGGTTCTTCCCTAACGTCGCAGACCACTGTGGGGGGTGGGGGGAGCCCGCT